TGTTTTTTCCCCCCAAAAAAAAAAAAATGGGGGAAAAGGTGCTTCTTTTTGCCCCCCCCCCCCTGTAGCCCCGCCTCTGGGCGTTTGTATATGTCTTCAAGATATTTAGAACGATGTGTTTTTTGTTTTGTTTTATGCTGAAGTAGTCTATCTGTTGTTATTATGTTTAATAATACTGATGTTAGTATCTTTGCTGTTATCTGAAACAAAGTGCTTACTAGCATTAAAGTTAGGATGGTATAAGTAATTTTATTTTGGATTAAGTGTTTAATAATACTGACATCAATACATGTGTTGTTATGTGTTGCGCTATATTTGCACTTTTATTGACGTAAACACCTGGATTGTTAATTGGATCAAAACGTTTACTAACACACGTACATAGCAATATATTTATTTTCAACCAATCGAATATCTTTTACAAGGTAAATTAATTTTTATTTTATGGCAGTTACGCAAGAGTTGTGAAATATATGTAGAATGTAAATTTTCTTGGCACTTGTATTGTAAACATGATTTCACATATAATAGCAACATATCTGCAAGAGCAACCACTTAATCGCCCTCCCTTCCTCAAAGATCTAACATGTTACTGATTTTTTTCATCACAAGTGGAATAATATAGAAAAAAATTAAAAATAGCCATTAACCCTGTCAAGGGAGATTTTCATCTAACCATACGTTGTTTGTTAATCATAATATTTTAACGTGTATTTTTAACGGATAAAGATCCTGCTAGTTATAGTTTACTATCCACTACTACTTAATATATCATCCAATGTTCTGAGGCAAACATGAAACACTCATGAATATTTTTTAACTGCTTGGCAGCATGGAATGAGCGGGGCTTATCCGCTTTTGACATGATTGGTGATCACGCCTCTTTCCAGTGACGTTAATTATTTTCCCTGGAAAAACCAATTGAATTACGATCGCGAATACAAGTTTTGTATTTTGCAAACTGAACGAAAAAAACAACAAACATATGGAATCTGGTTATAAAACGTTTAACAGCCTTTTAATTACTCCTTAACAATCTAGTAGTTAGTTTATTAAACAATTTATCTGGTCTTATATTCTCAAATCAATAGGTTTTTACGTGTTCTGTATAGGTATACATAAAACTTTTTAATAAGGGGATTTGACAAGTCTTATCCTGTCAAGTGCTGGAAAATCTTCGGATAAACATATCTTTGGTCTGATATAATCTATCAAATGGAAACATATATATACACATGTGTTATAAGTGTTTTTTTCCTTTATAGACTGATTACTATTGTAAAAGATGAACGTGTTTTGTTTCGAATAAAAGTGATAAAATGTGTTTTTAAGCTCTTGTACTTGATTTTCTTATGGATTTGTACGTACTAATTCCTTTCTATATGCATGCGCGTATGCATAAAAATATTTTCCCGCTTAAATATTGAACCGTCACATAAGTTCAACACGTTCACGTGATGTAGATTCTGAATAAAACTGTGAACAGCTTCACAGCTTTTCCAACTTAAGCTTATCTTTGACCTTAGACTATTTAGAGAGTTATCACTTAGTTGATACATCTTAATGTATCCATTATAAGAGATTTTCAACGGATATTTCTTATATGCTTTGGTTAGTACAATAAGATAAAGTAAAATAGAAAATGTTAACTATAATAGGTCTGTACACGTTATGTAAATTGAAATGCCTCCACCACGTGAAAATGGTTAGGTGACAATGAAGGTTTTAAATATTTAAATAGCACCTGTTTTAGAAAAATAAGTTATCTATCCTCCTTAATATAAAGAACTGCATTAAAAAATAGAGATTCCATTTTTTTCAACTCCCACAGGAGATCGTGAGTTTAACCGTACAATGATTATAAGTACTGGAACCACTATCAGTCACGGTATTACAGGATGAGCTGCTTTCAGGGGTTACGTAAAAGCAATAGAGACCTCATTCCTCGTGACCTGACCTTGTCATTTGTTCGTTTCTGTAATACAGACTGTAGGAACTGACTTATCACGAATAGTTTCGTCTCTAGTTTATTATCAATGTGAATAATGAAAGTTTAAAAGTGTAGGATGCAGAGCTCGAATCAGTTCAGCTTCTTGTTCCAATTACCAAATGAAGAAAATATATTGGTAGCTTTGTTTTCATAAATGTTTTCAGCGTTCTAACTTCGAAGCAATATAGTATTTAATGAATTCAGAATGTCAATCGACCACTACTTATATCATATAGATCGTTAGTCCACCACTGTTTATAACACTCTAGAATGTCATTCTACCAATATTTAGAACACTCTAGACCGTCAGTCCACCAGTGTTTATAACACTCTAGACCATCATTCCACTAGTGCTTATGACATTCTAGAATGTCAGCCCATCATGTTTACTACAGTTTAAAGAGTTTGGACCGTCAGTTTACTAGTTCTTATGGCATTGTAAGTTGTCAGTCCACCATAGCTTATTGAATGTAATAATTAACTTGTTGTATGCTTTAGATAACACATATTTAGTGATGCCTGTATAATACATTTAGTATCAACTCTCACAAGAGAAGTTGTGAGAATTCTGCTTTATAATCTATTTAGTCATATTTAAACGGAATAGAATGTGTCCAGTGCACCAAGTTCTTAATTACAATTTAATAGGAAATACATATTTTGAATCACGATATTGTTCCAAATTAGACATAAACTTTTTAAGACTTGGATATAGAAAAATATACATTTGTAAGAATGGAATTGGAACTCACATTTCTGTTGCCACACATCTTTTCTCACTGTGCATTACACGTCTTAGACGTTGGCGTTAACCTAATAGGTGTTTTTATGTTACTATAAGAGAGAGATTCTCAGATTTCGCACCCAAATATGATTTCAAATACTATATATCAAAGGAGTTTTGTGTTTTGGTGAAATTCAAAATTACCAGCTAATAAATTCCTCGAAAACGATTTATTATAGAGTTTTACGAACAAGGAAGTACAACGTTTGGTTTTACAAATTATTACAGCAAATTGACTATCACGATCTTGAACATACTGTTCTTTTTGTATGCCATAGGTTAAAATACTAAATTAAAAAAAAACAAGATACAAAATTATGGATTTTTGCCGTGTTTATTTTCTTGGTCTTTGGAAACAACATACAATATATTTTTCTAGTAGTAACAAAACCATAATGTTTCTACAATTACCGGGTGCAGAAAGTTTATATACACACATAATACTCTATACATCATATACCTATAGGAATTATACATAGTTCTTGTGACATGTAATATGTGGAATTACATACAATCCTTGTCACATATTATTATATGTGAATTTACACACAATCCTTAAGACATCTAATATTATGCAGGATTACATATAATCCTTGCCATACTAAATAACCTGTGAAATTATGTATTGTCGCTGTATTGTTCAAATGTTTTGTGGAATCATATATACTTTTTATGAATTATTAAAAATTAAATATTCTACGGAAATATATAAAATGCTTCTTACATAATTCATTCTGCAGTTTAATGCGGAACTGAAGATATCAATGCGTAAAACTACACGTAACGCATTCATTTTTTTATTTTAAAAAATCACCTGAAAATGTCTTTAAAACACCCTTAGAAAAATGTTCTTTGTAAGCCCTAGATATAGTTTATTTTCGAGAAATTTTACCACAGAAATCATTCTGTGTATATTTTAGGGCATATTCTTAACTAGAATATCTGTACAATGTGCACCTGAGTGGAAATGACAAATAAAAGAGCATCCAAGAAACATGACAAATAACAGGATTCACGTCAGTTTTGGAGTTTTTAATATCATGTGGACATTGGTCATGTCACATAAATACTATAGCTAGTCACGATCTACACTTTAAAATTTTATTACACTATTTCTTAATATATTCTTTAAAGTAGACGTTCTCTTAACAAACAAAGGACCACATGTTTCTAGATTTTCTATTTTTTCCTTCACCGTAGCTTTATTTTATTATTTTATCAAAATAAATAATAGCTTTCTGATATCATTTATAAATAAATATTATAACTATACAATTTTTGGATGAGACATTTTTAACATTAATTGTATAAGCTTCACAAAACGATTATCTATCGACTTTGATCCGATTGATTCGTTTGCCAAATCAGGTACTTGAAGTGACCACTGGGATGTATTTTTACCCATACAACTAAAACTCAACACATTCTTTTTTTAATCAATTAAAACCTATTAAAACTGTTTAATTTCAAGAAATCACAGATTAAAAACTAGAAACTTCCAATATAATAATAATTATATAATTATACATTAATATTTTGATCAGGAAACAACTTTCATGATGTAAAAACACTGAAACATTCATTCCACAAGGACGGATCACACTAACTTTCCCGCGTTTCGATGTAAATAATAAAGTACTTTAAGCGAAGAAACTTCTGAAATCTTTCATGTCAGAACAGAAGAATGAAAAGAACAGATCAATGCTATAACTGCAATTCACTATTTCATCATTCTAGTAGATAATGTTTTTTCTGAAACAAATAATACATTTTTTTTATTCTTACTAAAAACAGACATAAACACAGACCGTGGACGGAGGTGAGACTTGAAATAATTCAACGTTTTGAACGCAACATTTCTTTTGTTAAAATCACGCTTCTTTGTTTAAACACCAAATCTTATATTTAATTAATACAATTTGACTTTTCTTGAATCAAAATGGAAAATTGAGCCCAGTGTGAGTTTTACCCGCACTTTTTACTACCTTCCTTATTATTCTAAATAATGAAAGTAACCACGACACCTCAAGCCCTTTTATTAGGAATTATAACCGAGTTAATTTGGTAATTCTTGCATGTTGCGTATCATTAGCGATATTTAACTACGTTGATGAAAGTTGCTTACTTACTTTTTAATATTTATGAAATGCTGAGTTGTTTTCTTTACATTTGACATTTTCATTTGTTTCTATATAACACTTTATATAAATACATATGCACTTCATTTTCAAGTTTTCTTAAGTTTAAAAATAACATATGATTAGCAAAAATATTCTACAAAACTCAGCCTTGTTCTCTTAGAATTTCAGGCTATATTTTGTACTACCGAACTGATTTATTCTGATTACCCTCTTTAGCTTTCATTACTATAGAAAATCATCCAGTGAAAGATTTCTTGTATAATTTTACAGACAGATCACCACCTAAAGATACATCAACACAAATAGATCACCATACACAAATAGATCACCATATGAAGGTACATCATAGTACCTTAATACAAATAGATCACCACCTGAAGAGACATCATAATATCTTAGCACAAATAGATCACCACCTAAGGTTACATCATAACACTTAAAACAGATTATCGTCCTTAAGACACTTTTGGGTGTACCTTAACACAAACACATTACCAACCTAAGATGTGTTTTGGTTCCTAAAGAAAAACAAATTTTCAATGTAAGGTGTGTCTTAGTGCTTGAAAACAAACAGGTTTTCACCCGAATACATGTCTTTTGTTTTAACACAAATTAAAGACATTAATAGTCATGTTCGAATTAAATTAAGTCATGGTCTGCTCTCAGTATGGACGATGAACAAGGACCTTGTTTATAAAGATTGTCTTTCCTGATCTGATCTATGGAAGTCTGTGACCGATAACTGTCTCAGGTAGCACCGCACTCTACTCCTCTGATATCCGAGGTTAGAAAATTTCTGAAACAACCGTTCTCTGTTCATTGTGAAAGAAATGTTTTATTAACTAAACACTAACATGTGATAACAATAGAACAATAAATAAATCAAATCTACTCTTTTCGTCGAAATGTTTTCATTTTCATTGGTAATTCAACTGTGGTTGGAATTATTACAGCCCATTACTGATATTCTATCTGTAAGCACGCGAATCATATATATTAAACATTAGATAGAGATTTCCAGTAAAAAAAACTATTTCAGAGACAAGAAAAGAAGAACTTTAGTTGAACACGTGTTATTATTGTACCCAAGCATGAATTTTTTGCCGTGATTGGCTGAAACATTTTTCAATGTTGCTTTGAAAGCTGGGCATCAGTGTTTTTCGGTTGTTAAGGCCGTCGCCATGTATGCAGCGTCGTAGCAGAACTTTGCAGACGACAATTTTTGCAACACAGTGATTCATTTAAGCCTAATTTATAAACAAATTCAAAAATATCGCCAGCATTCAATAGCAAACTTTGCGCTGATATTTGACAGGTGTATACTTTATACATTTATTGTTATGATCACATGATAATGGGCTGTTATATTTTCAAAATTAAATAATTTACAAATTTTAAGTATGTATTATTGATTCTTTAAATGAGATGAAAATCTTCAATGAAATGTTAAACTCTAAGGCTTTCATGTAGGCCCGGTGATGTTGTCTAAATATTAAATGTAATAGCGTTAGTTAATCAGATTTTAATAAAACTGAAAGTAGAAGAGATGAAGGGCAGAATCAAACAAGTATTGACTGATTTCTCAAGCAACAGCCCATTTGTTGCCCTCGTAAACAGTCAATAATTGTTTATTGTTTACACTTAGGATGGAAGGAAAATTAGTTGTGTGCCAACAAGAGTCTTTAAGAGTAATTTTAGTGACGCAGATATTTTCGTAACGTACGTATTCGTATGTTGCAATAAATTGAATCTGCACATGACTTGGGCTCGGAAAGGTTCAGAATTACACAAGTTTGTCACTAAAAGAATGGATATTTGTAATTTGATTGTTTGTTGCTGTTGTTGGTTTTTGTTACAGTTCTAAAAAAATCACTTATTATATAATCAGCGTATACGAAGTTAACAATGTTGTCACTAGGAGTAAGTCCTGATAGTACCCCTAGATATTTATCTTACATTTATTTCATTGAGCTATAAAGATAATTTAATTGTGTCAAATTTTTAATCAGTTCTCGTTTTTAATATTTTCATGCATATGTGTGTGTGTCGTTCGAAGTAGATTTGACTAGAATTCTAGGTTAAAGCTGCTACCAATGTTATTCTTTTTTAAATGCCACATTTGAACAGAAAACGGTAAAATAACTTTCTGTTGGTTAGATTCTTCGAGCAAACTGATGTGTTTTTCTGACTAGTCTTTATGGCTACCAGACAGATGAGCAGGGAAGGTTATTTAGGGCTTGAGCAATGTCAATCCTTGTCATCACCATTAACATGTTCTATATGTGTTTCCTCTTCACAACTGCCACCATTCTGGGAAGGTTCTTCAATTGCATGGGAAACAGATACACCTTGTCCATGTACAGTATGACAGTCAGTTTCGAAGATACTCGTAGCATTTCTTGAGGACATATCACTGTTTACATCAGAGTTAGATTCGTATTCAGATAATTTTCCATTTGAAGCAGGCTTACTATAATCATCTTCTTCTGTGGGGATTTCATACTTTGAACTGTCTTGATTATTATCATCATAATTTTGAATAACTGGTATCTTCTGCTGAGGAGACTTTTTGCTTGAAGTTAGTAATTGTCTCCTCTCAAGTTGGTCAGTGATAGGAAAATTAGAGTCCAAGGCAGAGTTAAAAGGTTTCTGAGCATCGGTGGGCAGAGAATCGGTAACTTTGCCGATAAAATTCCGAATCTCATCAAAATATGTCTCTGTCCCATCTCTGACTTCGACTTGTTTCGGAGAGTCGTCGAGAATAGTCGGTCCATCTGACTCGTGTTTCTTCAAATGTCGATCCAGGTTAGTCTGTTGACCAAAGCTACGATCACACAGCGAGCATTTGAACGGCTTCTCTTTGTTGTGGATGTTTCGGACATGGCGTTGAAGGTTGGAAGAAATACTAAACGATCTTTCGCAATATTTACATTTGTATGGTTGTTCTCCTGTGTGGGTTCTAAGATGTCGGGTGAGATTGGCAGAGCGGGGGAACACTTTACCGCAAAACTTGCAAGAATATCTTTCCTTGGATTTACTGAAATTTGGGGTTAAGATGTTGTGTATCGGTTTTCCAAGTTTTTCAATCTGCGCCTGTACAAAGTTAAAAGACGAGGATCGGTTATTATAAAAACCGCCTAAAAAACGGTGTCTAGAGTCTAAGGAAGTCGTCACTTGTTCAGGGGGCCCAAAAATTGGGAAAGCCGGCTTGTCTTGTTCGATTCTGTACATCGATTCCAGAAACAGTGGGTGGAGAGGGCGAGGGTATATCATTTGGAGTCCTGAGGACGAAGCATCGTCCTTGTGGGTTCCTGGCCTGTTCTTTGACGTAAATTGGCTATTTGTATGGTCATAAATGTGTGGCTTGTGTGGAGTATGGTCCTCTAGACGAGGCATCTTTTTGTGCGAGACCCGAAGGTCGAGTGGCTCGTCGTCTTCCTGTACTCTAGAGCGAAATTCAGGTCGATCTTCGGCGGGAACTCTGTTTTTATGTTTGGAAAGATCAAAAGGCATGTCCATATCGCACGGAGGAGATAAGTTCACTGGAAATGAATGGATGGAACGTGGTAAAGGCACAAGGTTTAAAGGGTCAGGGCAAACTGTTGCCTGCTTTGGAGAACCTAAATTATGATGGCTATACATCTTCATTAGTGGGTTCCGGTAACTGTCACTGAACGGAGACAAAGCTCCGTAGCCATGGTAACAGAGAGAAGAGGAAGGAACCAGCTTGGGATCGAGTACCATAAGATGTTCTCCTATGACCTTGGTAGAATACACGATCTAACTTCTCTGTAGACTCAATACACTTCTGCAATAATACAAAAAATATGTGTGATTAAATGTTTAGGTTCTGTAAATAGAATTACAAAAAAAAATATAATAATATGAATACATTTATTTCGTATTTTATTTGGACTCATATTTTTAAGAAGATTCCTAATGCTCATATTACCATCGGATAAATGTACGTACGTTTAATAAATTGGCTTTCTGCATGAATTCCTTCATTAAAGCCGTACTTGAATGATCCTGTGAACTTTCAAATACAAGTTCGACTATTGTAAAAAAAATTAAAAAATGTCGTATTATTACTTTATATCTCCTGCTTTTATAATGCGTTATATAAAAATCTCTACATAATATAGATCATTTTTTTTACAATTTTTACACGATTTTCACATCAATTGCTCGCGTAATTTATATTCAGAACGTTCATATCAGTTATGTCACACAGCTTTTACATCAACTCTCTGTTTGAAGGATGTATTTCCACTTGACTTTTAATTTTATCGACATACTAATTCATCAGGAGAAACGGGGAAGCATTTTTTTTTATCTGAGTGTGCAGTTACCTCAGAAGAGTTGTGTCCACTGTGTTGGTAGTACCGTTACACTGTAAAAGGGTTGTCAACTATTAATTCTACAGTAAGTGTGCAGTTACCTTAGAAGAGTTGTGTCCACTGTGTTGGTAGTACCGTTACACTGTAAAAGGGCTGTCAAGTATTAATCCTAAAGTAGTATTGCTTGATCTGGAACGATACCCTCTCCATACAAACAAGCATATTTATCTATGTTGATCACATATCTAAAACACCTGATATTCTACCTAAGAAAGTAGGTTGAACGAGAGTCAACATGTACTTTTCGTCGACAGTAACATGACAAACACGAGATTGATTTCTAGTAACATCAGATAATTTTTTACAAACAAGATTATATTAGTTCTGATGAAGGGATATTTAATACATTACATGTTCATTTCTGGAAGCAGTATTTTTAAATAGTTATGTTAAGAAATTTAAATAGAAACTAAGTGGTTCATGGATATTATTGATCTTCTAAACGATACTCTTGTAATATTGTGTAATTGGATTTTTGCTTAGTCTTTAAGGTCATTCAATAAAATAATCCAGAAGCAGGCGACTGAGCTCGTTGTTTTACAGTTAACTTGAAATATCCTAGACCCATCGTTCAATGTAAAACAAAAGACGACTTTCGTTTTTTAGCAATAAGTAGACGCATGAGATCTTGTATAACTCCACTTAGTTAAGCCTATTATTGCAGTTTTTTTTTGTAAACTCACCTGACGATACCGACAAATTTTCAGTCTTTTATTATCACAAAGTTATATGAGAGTTATTTGTCATTTAATTAATTTTGATATTGAATCAATTAAAAAAGAACTCACAGTATTTAACAAAATTCAAATAAAATGTGTACAAAGAAACCCGCAACCTTGTTTTTGGCTGATACATAAGTACGTAAGTGCACGTACATAATTAAAGTAATAATCTGTTTTAGAAATACTGAAATATGTGTTTGCTTTTTTATTTTGAGGTTTTTGTCTTTCATTTGTCTGCGAAAGTATAAATTAGCGTCTTCCTTACAAAGTCTAATACATTCTTCTGTTTGTGACTTCACTTTCATAACATTCTATGAATATAAAATCTTATAGTCATTATTACAAACAACGTTTTTGTGAGGGAGGAGAATTATGAATAACGACCTGCAGATGTTTTCTTAATAGGTCTTGGAAAACACGAAATACGATGTAAGAGCAGCATTATGAATAGCGATACTCAGCTATTTTCTTCAGAAGTCTTGAAAAACACAGAATAAAAAGAAATAATCGCTTGAATAAATGAGAGAACGACAATCAACAAGCCATGAAAAAGTATAAAAACGACATAGGTTATACAATATGAATAAATACAACAATTTTATTGATAGTTCTAGCCATTTAACTATGGAAAAAACAGGTTCTTGGCCATTTGATTCTATCTAATGTGTATAATAAAGGTATTTTGACTGGTGTAGCTAGCACAGCTTGTACTGATCTACGAAAACTATCCAGATCTTTAGCAAAAATGTTTGTTTATAGAATTGTCTAAATCTTTTTTCTAGGAAAGAACAAACTGTTACGCAACATAATTTGCTAAAAAATCAGCAAACTATTGCAATGGAAAACTTGGCATATATTATTTTTGTTTAGTGAAGAGACTTCATTGTTTTTCTCTTTTGTATCTTAGAGACTTCAGTGTATTACTTATCCTATTATAAGTTTACACAAAAGTTACAAAAACCATGATTATCAATAATGTCTACGGATAGAGATAACTTATAAAGTAATGAAGAAATTTCTACATTACAAACTGGCTAGAAATACACAATGTAATAAAATCAAGTCACAAGCAAAATGGAAGCTTACAATGATTAAAAAGCATTCATTTATTATTGGGAACTCTCGCTATAAACGATTTTTTCAATTGCTAACACAATAATATCTCACGAAATTTGGCAAGATTTAGGTTGGTCCGAAATCGATCTACGTGGCTAACAAATCGAAATAATGTTCAAAAGTGTGGAAGTTAATAATGACATTTGAGGTTATATTAAACATTATAACCAAATAATATCAATAAAATTTAAAGAAAAATGGGTTTGCTATTTTTTCAATATTCATTTGTACACACTAGTTGCAATAGTTTTGATATCTTCCCTTATATATAAGTGGAGTGACTTTTCCACAGGTAAATGTATGCTTAATTTTTTTTACCTCCAACTTATTCAAAAATACAGAAATCATTAATACAATTTGTTTTTCCTGTGGAAAAATAAAGAGTGCTACCTTAATATTTTAGTCAGATAAACCACGTATAAAGATATCCAAAGTTTGAAAACTATTGGAGTTTCATTTATTTTAAAAAATGAAGCAGCTCCTGATAGAAGACGAATATTGTATTTAAATCATTGAATGGTAAATTAAGATCAGTAATAATACTGAAACTTCAAATTAAATGGAAAATATTGAAATAAAGAATACCCAAACTAACAAGTTCTTCGATTATTTGATTTTATCATTTTCTCATTACTTTTACATTCAGATGAAATTTATTATTATTCAGATATGGTTTCCTGCTAATTAAGGATTAAACGATATCATTAGTCAGCAAAATATATCAAATTCTAAATGTACATGAGAACACTTCTATATCTTCACCGTCAAATGCTTTGCTGGTTCTCTATTTGTTGTGTCGTTATAGAATTACGAATATATTCTACACTGTAGACTCAGTAGACTAAGGATCGTTTTTATAGCGTAAAGGAGATTCGGATGGGGGATGGATATATAAAGAATTTTCAATGTATAATCACCATGAAAATAAAAATCCACTAAATACTTATGGAGATTAATTTACATTTTTAGCTTGGTATATGGATTCAGAACCAACTCAGATCTTCTAAGCTGGCTCAACCTTATGGAATAATATTGGGAAAATATTGTTCATAGCGAGGATATCAAACTGACGATTCAATACATTCTAATTATTATAGGTTTTAAAGTTCTCGTGGATTGATTTATGACATTATTGTATTAATATAATAATATTATATTATTCTAATTATTATAGGGTTTAAAGTTCTCGTGGATTGATTTTATGACATTATTTACGTCTAGCCAGTTCTATAGAATTAGACTTTTTAATCAATAAGCTACTTTTTAGTTCTAGCCCATATAGTTAGCTTAGGTTTCAACAGAAGCTATCAATAAATATCAAACAAACGTTCTCAAAATAGTAATAGTAAGAAATATATCTTCCTGATAGACAGATCTATATAACCAAAACTCCAAACTGCCATATATATACGGTAGTAAGTCTCCTACGCAATCCATTTTAAGTCTTGAAGTTATTTTACATTGCAGCAACATTTTTATATTTGACTTTCTTTACTGACTTCATATTTCTCCACTGTCCAGTTACTGCCTATAATTAATCCCTGACAAGGCGTAATCCTGTATCCCAACCATCAAAAGTCCAATAACGCTGAGAGAACTACTCAGAAGGTTTACTAATTAGAACGTTTAAAATTGTATGGTTAATACTATCTTATCTAGTAATATACTATCCTTAGGTGTAGTCAATCAGTTATTTGGTGTCGTTACCGGCTGATTGGGTTTCGATACTGTTACTGGGAATGATCAAAGCCGCTCCTAATGCATTAATATACCGTGACAAGCAAAACGTTCTCAGTACTTAAATATTACTTTCTCAAGTGATGTTCCCGGGTGGGTCAGCGGTAAGCTTACAGACTTGCAATGCTAAAGCCTCGGATTCGATTCCAAGTTGTGGACACAACAGGTAGCCCAATGTGGCTTTGCGCTGAAACAAACAAATAATTCTCAATTGAATTTACTAATAATATAAGCAAAAACATCCAAAAAAGTGTTACTCAGTAGTAAACTAGGAAATTCTGTCAGTAATGGGTCAAGTTAAACGTGGCCTAATGCTATGCTGTGAGCCATAAGGACCAAGGTACGAGCCTGCGACACGCTTCTGAACATACTGCGTATTGTGAGCGCGTTATATTGTATAATCAATCCAATTATTCGATTACGAGTAGCTTTGTAACGGTAGATGCTACAGACTGATTTCATTCTCTGAGGTCAGCAGCTCTACATTAGAAAAGGCTATGCTTGTGCCTTTAGTTCTCTGACCTGGTCGTTCAGCTCGTGTGTTGCATAGATTGAAGTTACCAAATACCAGTAATGCGCTAGTAAAACAGGGCCCCATATTTATTAAATCAACATTTTTTTCACCATGCTTGAGCACCTCAAGGATTGTATAAATTGCTCTTGAACTCATGTAATGATTATTATTATTTTTTCTTAAAGAGTTTCGTCCTTTAAGCTTGAGTACAACATTACACAATAAACTTTAGCGATGCATATATATGCAAAACCTTCCACGAGTGACAATACTACTTTAATAGAAGTAATATTATCTAATTCATTTTCTATGCAATCAACTGAATAAAATAGCTGAACTTAAAGTATCATTTAGGAGTAAACTCTACTCACTAAATTGAATTTGCGAATAATGTTGATCTGATTGAATTAACTTGCCAGAAAGACTCACATTTGACAAAAAAAGAGAAACACGGTAACAAACATGCCCTACACTCCCTAGCAATGTTACAGTTTATGAATCTACGTTTATGGAACTTAGATCAGGAATTCTTGTTGACCAGTCTATGTTCAAGATACTCCAACATAATCATGGCCTTATGAATCTACGTTTATGGAACTTAGATCAGGAATTCTTGTTGACCAGTCTATGTTCAAGATAGTC